ACAAGCAAATCAGATTAACAGTTACTATACAATATATAGGGTATTTTTGATTTTTTTTTTATTGATTTTTTTTTCAATAAAAAAAATTAATTAATTTCATACTGTACCTTGTGTTTTTATATTTGTTGTCATGTCCTCTGGATGCTTTACTGTACGACTCTTTATGTGTGTGACTGCATGCACTACTATCAAGACAGGACACGTATTTAAGTATTTTTTGACACGCGTACAAAAATAACAAATAACAAGTGCCTCCCTCACCAACTTTTTTAAAAACCCCCGACGAGAAACAAGTATTTTTTGTTACTTGGCCTAATATTGTGATCACAAGGAGGCCTCGGCAATAATGTTCTCAAATAATTAACGTATATTTAAATTCTATTATACTGTATATTGATGATAGTTATGGAAAATGGCATAGAAGACAAAAACCTTAATTTGTTTGTTAAAGCAAGAATTTTAAATTCTACTAAAAAAATAGTTATAGAACCGGGACATGACCATAGTCACAAAGGTGGTTTTGAAGTTATTTTTACAAGCAATACAAACAAAAACTATTAATAGAAAACAAAGAACAAGTGGAAAGGAATGTAAAGCCTAAATATAACATAGTATCTTTTTTCTTTCAAACCAGATTTACATTGTATAATGTTTCAAACCAAATGTGTTTGTACAATACATATTTTTCACAAACACCTGAGAGAAGAATTTAGGTACAGTGGGCCTATGTATAATTGCAAATAACACACACTGACTTAAAAAAAATAAACATAGCTTTTGTTTGTTTTAATAGCTACTGTAGCTTACAAAAACATTCCAAAGTGACAACATGCATTTAGCTACACTTCATGCCTTGTTTATTGAGTAACCAAAATTATTAATAATAGGCTTTTGCAGCATTTATAAATAGATGCTTTTACCAGTATAATTGTCTACAAAAATAGCTGGTTTACAGAGAATTTAAAACTTACCAGTTTTGAACAAATATTTATCTTTCAAAGATGCAAATGCAAATGAATATAATGTTGAGCTTTTTCTACCAATACAGTACTGTATGTAATATAAAATTTAGGAGATACTGGATAAATAGAAATTCAAAATTTTATTTTTAAAATGTTATCAAAATATACATGAATGTAGTATTTGCAAAATAAAACACGAACAATAAATACTAATTAATTTAATATTCAACATACTGTAGATTTTAATTAATACTTCTTTATAAAAACAAAATATTGTACATAAAAAAAAATATCAGACTTGTTACAAAAGCATTTTACTGTAGACACAATTTTAGAGGTTTGCGCTAAAGCCACTTGGAAATAATCTTTAATATGAAGTTGCAAATGACATGGAGAAGACTGTATGCTACTACAGTACTGTATACATGAACAACTAGGTCAGAGTATGCAGTAGTGAATGGCTCATCCACATAATCAATACCTGATGAGAAATCAAACGAAGAGGAAACAGTCTCTTGTTTAGACAATGTTGACATAAAAAACACATACTCAAAGTACTTTGAATATTCACTGCAAAATTGTCTCATATTTCTGAAGAGGAATGATCTGGTATTCTATATTTTCCATTAGATTTCTTTTTCTTTATTTTTATATCCAGTGACATGATCTTGAATACTTTAGATATTTTTTACGACAATTTTGACATCCAATGCACAAGCTTTTCATTTTTTTAAATAGTAGTTATTAATATTAAACACTTTTATTTGAGGCCAAATATAAAAAAATTACTGGTTTCTCGTCCCCTCACGCATCAATTTTCTCAGCCTCACCATTTTTCTTCTTTTTTTTTTTACAAAATGTAAAAAAATCTGGCTAACTCACATCAGTAAAATTCCTCTCTCGATCGTTCCTAGTTGGGGATACATATAGTGGAAATCATGTCTAGTGCTTTTTTACTATTTATTTTCTGTATTTGCCATATTGGAGTTAAAAAATAAAAAAGTGCCCTCATTTTCGTTTTTTTTTTTTCAAAATATTAGTGCAAGAAACTACTTTATATTTTTACTTGGCCTTAAGAAGTATTATTTTTAAACTTTCATCTATTTATCTATTCAACTTTAGGCACAATAGTGAAGGATTTGCCTAAGCAATTTTTTTAAAGTGGCAATTCCTTTACAAGACAAACACACAAGATTCTCTACATAGATAGTCTCATTATGGATATAATATAAGGCTTTAAGGGAGTGGAGTTCTTTCATCTGGTCATTTGATCATTAGAGTACCTTGTTAATTAACACATTATAATAATTAGTGCTGATAAAAAAAACTGGTTAACATTTGTCTTAACAGTTGTAATTTTAGTTCATAATATAATATTTTATTTTATATTTCTTTTACAACCTAATTCAGCCACGCAATACCTTTATTTAGCCTCATATTACCTTAATCAGCCCTTTATTGCTTTATTCAGCTCTACATTGAAGAAGAAATCCTCAATTACATTGATATATTGGCTTAAAGGCATTTACATAAAATCGGGGTCGAGTCAAATTCCTATACATTTGGACGTAGACTACCTATGCTAGGCTTGCAAACATCAATGGTTTGCCGACAATACTGCCAGGCCTTATGCAGTAGAACTAGAAAAACACTGGTAAACAGAATTGATCGTAAAATACCTTAATCATCCTACAGGTACTGTCATGCCTTGGCACAGTAGTAGAGACTACCTGTAGGCCAAAACATCAAACATACTGTAATTGTAGCCTTACTATATAGTTGATTATCCGAATTAACATTTATTTGAACTGCATTTTACAGATTTTTCTCCAATTTTCATTGTATTACCGCAACCTACACTTTGAATTAAATCATCGCACATAAACATGAAACATAATTTGTCAGTGAGTAGAAATTTACAGACAGTAGAAATTTACAGACAGAAAGTCAACTGTGCATGTGTACAGATAATGCATGGACAGTTTTTAAAACTGTTCAGCAATTTCTCACACATAACACACTGCTGAGCATTTACCACTAAAGAACAAACATTTTTACTCCATGCTAAGAAAAACTAAAAAGAAATATTTCCTTGGCAATTTTATTAGCATTAGAGACTAAAAGATATAGATTATACAAATGCATTCATATTCAAACGTTAATTGGGTTTGTAAAACTATGTCAGTATCCATACACAATCTCACAGTACCTTAACTGAGCCTCACATCCTATTCAACATCATAATTTAGTACCTATTTAAGTCACATTATCTTTTCTTATTCATTTGATTTCCTTTCATTTTATTTGGATGTAAAAACATTACTACATGGCTAAATTTGACATACTATACTAAAAGTCTGAATAAAATCACATCATTGCAGGTAGTACAGTACTGCACTAGACCTCTACGGTACAGGTAATGTATATTCAGCTTTATAGTGCATTATTCAACCTAATAATAAAAACAGCAACACTGAATATCAATAAAGCTGTAAAGATGCCATCCTTTCAATCCCAAGTTTCTGGGTTCAAATATTATGAAGTACTATGATTTTTTTCGCACAACTAAAAACATCTCCATTCCTTAAACCTTATAATGAAACTTTTTTAAAAAGGGCCTATCTAGTCTACACAATCATGCATACAAAGATAATCATTTACAATTCAAAAAATGTAGAAAACTAGGTATTAATAGAGACCTTCATATCATTATTTTGAAGCTCAGACTATGTCAATCTAATTTGATTACCGAAGAGAAACTGTTTGCTTGGGAGCATCTCGCAAGCTGATGTCCCGTGAGTAACATTTCCGCTACATGGCTTTCTTTACTCACCTTTTTGTTAGCACATAGCTGTGGCTAGGCTTAAACAATCCTCAGGGGCTGATCAGGCTAGAGAGCTAGAAGTCAGAAATCCACTCAATTGTGCAATTTAATTTGGGGTTCAGTTTCAAGCACCTTTCTTTCTACAACTGGTGTTTGTGACATTGTAATATTCTCTAGGGTAGCTGCAGGAGCTGCTGGTTATTTGAAAGTAGCAATCAACTAGTAATTTCTTTTGGTTGATGGTGTAAACAATTGTGAATTGCCATAAAATGAATTACACTAGTTGTAGCCTGTTGTTTTCTTTAAATCACCGCCTTGAATTTAGTTTGATACTTGTTCAAACTCAGAAGAAACCTTAAATTATGTATCTGTACTACACCTATACGTCTGACAAAATTATTGATTTTGTATCATATGTAAAAAAGAGGATAAAAACATTTTTGTAGATTTCAGTACTCTGTATATTTCATGGATTCATAGGATGTACAGTATATAGGCCTAATAAATTAATTAAAGTATAATTTGATGTCAACCAAGTCATGTACAGTATGTAGGGTAAACTGTTAATGATCAATAACTATCTTAAATAAATATAAATTTTGAGAGATATTTTGCAGCAACATAAAAGTATAGATAAAAATGTATTAAAATGCATTGTATCAACAAAAATAAACCATGAAATAAATCCTACCTATACTGTGTCAAAATAAAACAAGTGAATATTTATATTATGTATAACTGCAAGAAATAAACGTCAAACTCCTTATTATAAATAATGAAATCATGAATAATCCTTCCATTACAAACTAGGGTATTGGTTCGAATTCCAACAGGGACAATAAATATTTAATACTGATCATAGAAAGGAAACTACATTTTTACACAGACTGAGAATGCCATATTGAATGTAAATCTATCATGTTAAATAAAATGTATCCAATGAGAAGGTGATAGATTGTCAATTTTGTTTTTTGTTTTATTTAAACATTCTTCTATGAGTAATTATTGTCAACAGCTGCCTCTTTGATGTGAATAAATTTTCCGTTTACAACCAGCGTTAGTAACATAAACAAATATTCCTAGCCTAAACTACATTGAAAGTTCACTGAACTTCAATTAGTTTTCATTGCAGGCTAGGGATCAACTATGTGCTGGCTTCTCGATCCTAGGCTGATTTATCGATGGTCTGTGGGAAAGAATTTTAAAAACAAATTAAAGATGGTGATGCTGCCATATTGAACATTGTAGAGAGACTGTTTGACACTTTTTTTTAGTATTAACAAACGAGTAAATGGTATTCTACCTACAATGTAGTACTTATGAATATTATTGCAATTTACATGTAGATAGAAATGCATTCTTTGAGGTAGTTTATACTTTGTATCGAAAGTGCATCAAGTGTCACTAAAAACAGCTTAGCTTTGCTGGATCAACAGTTTCAATCAATACACAAATAAAATTTGTAAAAAACGGTAGCCATGTTTGGTCTATATTAATAAACAGTAAATTGAAAACAAACAGCACTTTACAGACTAACAAATTTTACTAGCACATGGGCTACCCCTTATTATTCATACTGTATGACATATTTTTATCCTATTTGTACATTCACCTGATGAAGACCACTGTGTGGTCGAAAGCTTGTGTGTCAATAGAATGTGTTGGGCTGTGAAGTGATGTTTGTCTTCAATTTACATATAAAAAAGTTCACTCATCATAGCATACTAATTGATAAATAATTTCGTCTGATGAGCCAATTTTACAATGAGGAATGATGATAGGGAGTATGGCAACAGATATAGAATTGAAATGAATACTACAATAGATTTAATGTTATTCAATGAAAAGAATGAATGCTAGTGAATATCTACATGCTGAAGTCATTGTGCAAATGAAGGCATGGTAATGATGCTGGTAATAAGACGGATGCCAACATTTTGCTAGTGCCAATGGTTACAAACGATGATGATACTAATTGCTAATGATGGTAATGTACTATAATGTGGAGACATTTTAAATAGATTACAATACATCTGGACTAAAACAACTAAAGGTATTTAGCTCTAACTTAATTTTAAAATGATTAAAACAGTAACAAGATATAAAAAGAAACTCATGATCAGGTACTGCATGCAGTTGATGTATGGTGGGCGGGGCCACCTAGCCTTGAAGTTTGCCGCCCGGTCTAAACCTATCGCCCACCCTCAGTTTTTTCTGTCTACAGCTACAACCTTGGATGATGATCATAATGATAATGATGGTGGTGAGGACAACAAAAATAAATGTATTTAATGATCATAATGATAAACTTGATGTTGGTGATGATATTGATAATGAATAATAATAACAAGTGATTTTATTTTCAAACTTTGATTGTAATTAAAGAATTTTATGAGGTATAAAGGTCATAAGTTCTGTAATTCATTCGAATAATCAATACTGTAATATGTTCTATAAAATGGAATGCGACAAAGTGGTGATCAATGGACAACCCCTGAGAACTGCATTTCTGTTTTTCCCACTTTCCTATTAAGATTTAATTTGATTGTACAGTATAAATAAAAACATATTTAAATAAATAAATAACAAGTAGATTTTGGAGATATGTACTTTAATTTCCAACAGGAAAATTACTAGAACTACATTTTAGGCCCTATAAAAAATATTATTAGTTTATCACCCTATCTGGGCAGGAAAAGTGATGAGGGAGGGAAGTTTGTTTTTTTTTTTTTTAATTTTGCTAAAGCCAAATATTACCCTTGGGTTGTTTGCTGGTGCATTGATATTCAAAGTAAAACATGATTTACTAACTAGTTGATAAAATAAATGAAAAAAATAAATAAGTAAAATTTTTTTTTTAAATGAATTAAAATTTTTTTTTTTTTCCAGTACCATAGAAGGCATGCACGCAAGGGTGATAAACTAATAATTTTTTTATTGGGCCTTATCAAAAACTATTCAAAATGTACAAAATTACTATTTTACAATGGAAGAAAAAATTATGTGAGATTACCCAGGTTATGTTATTCAGAGTGACAGGATGAGTCAAACAATATACAGTAGGATGCCTACAACATGATGAAATTTTTATTCCTTTTTCTTTTAACCTTCTACATAAACACCACATTCTTTATGACAGATAGCAATGCACAATGACATGGTCTTTGTAACTGATACGATTACAAGAAAAATAAATCAATTACAATATCAATGTCAAAAAAGCAGCTGGAAAGGATAGTCATGCAAAGAGGCTTCAATTCATAACAACAGAACCTTAATAAACATTCATCTTGTTTTACAAAGAGTTGTTAATATTAACATTTCGTCAATGCACATAGCACTTCAGATCACTGAATGTCATAAAAGATCGAATGATCACAGCTCTCGAAAAGCACCTCACCAAACTTGTTTTGTTTTGCTACAGCAAACGATGTGGCACTTATTACTGTAAAGATCTAATTACATTTTGAATAAACAATGTGGTACTTAATTATATTTATACCCACAATGAATTTATGCTTCATTTACTCAGAAGAAACAGTCAATTTCTAAATGTATAATAATATCATTGCAACAAGTATCATGATACTATTTTGGCATTCCAATAATCTGTAAAAAACGCAAGTTCTTAAGTAATCACCTCTCTTGAAAAAGCTTGACATTAAAGCTTCTAAAAAAAATAGTTTAAGTGGCTACAGTAAGTGCAGCTGTACTTATTTAGTTTGCACATAAACATTATTACTAGGCTTTACATATGTAAATGTTACAACACAATAATTGTAATGGGTAGCTGTACTGCACTTGCAGGGAAATTACAGTGCGAAAAAATAATTTTATCAGATAAAGAAACTGTATCAAATAAAATATCAAATTTATCTCACCAGTAATTAATTGCAACCAAAGATGTGTGGTGCCATTTTAAAACAATAAAGCAAAATAAAATGTTCAACTTAAATCAAAGAATTCCAAATTAAAGAATATTCTAAATCAAAAATAAAACTACATAGAGCTCTGTTAATTGACTTGGTAATAAAAATATTTTCTTATTCTAATTTTAAATATTAAATTTGAAAGCTACCTGTAATAGTACCATTATCTTGTTCAGGCTACGTTCAGACCTGATAAATACTGTACACAAGGCGTATCTAACGTCGGGCATATGTTAATCCGTGACGTAACTAGTGTGATGTCCAGACTGCGTGATTAACCAACGCTAGAATAAGTATCTGCGCAAAATATTTGTATTCATAATCGTGCATTTTATTTCCTGTTTTGTGAGTTCAAAATCGTTGATGCATGACTGTGATAACTCAGTGGTGTACACTTAAATCTGGGGTCTGTTGGTGGATTAATACTGGCGTTCGCTACGCCACGCACAAGTTCACACCACTCGATTAACATTATCCTAGCGAAAAACATGTTGTGTCTGAACATATCCTTTAATTAATTTTAAAAATTTATTTTTTTAAAGTTTATAGGTCAACATAGAGAGTACAGTACATTCAGAAATTCTTTCAAAAAGTGTAGGTGACTTGTAGTAACAGTATACATGTATAATACATGTCTACAGATAGTAAATTATTCACACAGGTGTATCTCTCTGTGGATGCAAAATTCAATAGACACACAGGTAGCATTATAACAGTATCACTGTTGTATCTTACTGTACTGTACCGTACACTTCTAAGGAAATAGGCTTAAATAATAAACTACTATACATAGGCTAAAGTATATCATCAAAGCAATGTTCAAAATAAGATAGAGCAATTTTAAACTACGGAAGAGGAATTTAACTAACAACTATAATTAACTTTATGAGCAAAAGATGAATAATTTTGTTACTGCATTTGGATTAGTGTATAATTGAATGTATCATATACACTAGATACTTGTTAATTGCGGTGATAAATGTTCTCTATCCTATACAGAAAAAAGTAGGTAAGCTATAAAAAACTTATTAAAATTCTGTAGCATGTAATTCTAGTCTAACTGCTATATACATTCAGTAACATTATGTTTCAAATGTACCATTAAGATGAGCTGGATACTATTATAGCCCCCTAAGTATATAGTACAATTGTTTCCTTGTACTTACAGTATGTTCAGTATCATTAGCTGGTGATTACTGTTTTACATGTTAAACTACTGTATACATTTTTTTTGCAACAAATTACAGTATTACTGATTACCTATATCTGTTCAGTGTTACAGTATCTAATCCCTGATTATTTTCAATGACCTTTTGTCATCTATTAATTCATCAATGTACTGTACTATACTGTAAGATCAATAATATAGTTATTCTGCCATAAAAAATTATGAAATATTGTACCACAATCATAGTATAATAATAATAATTAATTGCAATAAACTGCATCTACCGTATGCACTTTAAACACCTACGGAACACATTCTCAGCTCCCATAAGCCGCTAGAATCAGCGCATGGTATTACAGTATGTAGATCCTACCAGGTACCCACTTGTACTCCTGGGTGGAAAGAGACAAACATACTGTAGATAAAGTACCTTGTCTAAGGACACAAGCAACTTGTACAAATGAAGGTGTCTAACCTCCCCACCTCCAGCCAGAGTCCGAACCACAACCTTTTGCCAACTGCTTCCACAGGTTCAATAAATTTAATTGGTCCGAGTTGGGAACTTCATCATTAATATTTTGTACTGTATTTTAAACAATATAATTAATAAAGATGAATCATCTAGAAGACCGAATTACACACTTCTTTGTATGAATGGGTTGTGGCAGGAAAGTGGATTAGTCTGTGAAGAGATTTATGTAGCGCCACTGGAACACTTCCCTAGAGATTCATGATGGTAGTGCAATGTACATGATTGCCTATGATCTCAATGTTCAGGGAACTAAAGCACCTCTAAATAGGAAACTAGATCGAATTGCTGCAATACAATACTGTGTTGAATTGGACCCTCCATGCTCTAGCCAAGTCTCTTTATGAGGCTTTACGAATGGAGTAAAATTATTGTGTACTGTAGAGACTTGATTAAAATATTAGCATTTTTTACAGAATTGAACCTAAATGTTTGGAATTTAAAGGCAAGCACTATAAACTTTAAGTCATAATTTTACTCATATAGTGTATGCTCCTGTATCAAACATTCTAACATTAGTTTCAAATGAATCTTAAGACTTAATATTTTTTTATAAAACA